AAATTTTGAAATTGAATTTGTAAACATTTATCGTCATCATAAGCTCATAATATTTTTATTACTCTCAAATAAAATATATGTATTGTTGTAATTTGTATTTATAATATTAAAAGACTCAAATAATTTTGAATGTATGACTTTTAGTCATTTATTTTTTTATTTTAAGTTTTTTATTTAATTAGAAATTTTAATAGTTATAAATAACAATAAATATACATAACTATGTATTAAATGAAACATTAAAATAAATTTATTATAAAAGAATTATTTTGATTATGTTGACACCTTAGATGATATTGATATTCAACTTCACTCTACTCATTAAGTCTAGCATATGCATTATTTCTATTTCTAATATGATCAGCTCCCTCAAAAGATGCATCCTTAGTTTCTCATGTGAACATATTTTTTCATATATATATATAAAGTATTTGTTGAATGCCTACTCGGCCATCTATATTGATTAAATTATAACAAACAAGAGGAATGTCCTGGCTTAATCCATGAATCTATTTAGCGGCTCTAGGGGAATCCGATGGCTTAAGGGAATGATCCTGTAGAGCTGCAGCCTCAATACTCTTGGTACGTTGTAGCGAAAGAGACCGGTGAATCCTACACCGAAAAGAACCAGGGTGAGTGGTTGGTGAGCAAAGGCAGTTGTTCTTGGTGATGCTCGTCTGACGGGATAGCCCACCAGATCCCACTTCTGGTGCGGAACTGCCATCGCCATGAATCTCAATCTTCATGATCCCTTTGTCGTTTATCATTTGTTGTACGTTCTCCATTTTCTGGCTTTCATTGACAAGCATGACCATTACTATTAGAAACTATTAGCCAAGACCAAGACGTTCCACTCAAACGACATTAATGCGGTGTAATTGTTATTTGTTTACCATAACTGAAAAAAACTCAAAAAGAACTACCTGACTGTAGACACTAATTAAAGAATATCACATTATTTTTGTGTTCTTTATTGCACTTAATTTCTTCTTGATTTAGGAAAATAAATTTTCACTTCCAAATTTATTTTTTCCTTTTAGTACTTTGCTTCTACGTTTTAGTATAACAAAAATGAGATCTCGTTTGTGAAACTTAACCAAGCGAGAAAGAGCATATATAGTACGTTATCGATTTCGAAACGAAACAAATGTTTTGAACTTTGTTCCCGGCTTTGCAAAGAAATTTTTTTATAGTTCTGATTTGTTTACTTTTTGGATAGAATATAACAGATTTTGGTTTTGTTTCTTGATTATATACTAAAACGTCTAACAATTCGAGTGTTCGAGTAAAACACGAATAAAATTTATAGACTAGAATCGTTGAAGAACGATCATGAGATTTTGCTTAAAATATTAGCGGGGTTGAACGAGGTTATGGATGTAATTTTAAACCTAGCAAGAATGGTGTCTACATCTCAAGATTACAAACCAAACCATCAAAAAGGTGGAAGCTAGCAAGAAGGAAAACCAAAATACTAATCTAACAATGAAGAAATAGAATTCTTGACCAAATAAAGAAGATAATTATGAAAATCAAGAGTAATGGACATATTGCATACCTCTGTGAGGATGATCAAAGTGAAAGTCGAAGCTTGAAGCGAACCAAAAGGAGTTTTTACACTTTTCTGAATCGCTCTTGTTGCATATTTATAATCTCATCTTCTTGTTTTTTGGGTCATCACGGGAATGATGATGCCACTACCAAAAGCCAACTGTATCCGTTTTCATTTCCATAATGTTTCAACCACTCTTATCCCAAAAGCCCATCATTGAGTGGTCCCGTTTCTTTATTGTTTTTTGCGGTGTATCTAAACCCGGATTGTGGTAAGATCGGATCTGAATTGGCCCGAACAAG